AATGGAAGAAGGCTGCGGTCTACCCGATTTTCGAGTGCGGTGACGACCTGCCGACCAATTATAGGCCTATCAGCTTGACTAGCGCAGACGTTTGAACACTGACTTAACGCCCTCGGTTTGCAACTACAACTCTTCCTCTTCCCATCTTAGCCTGAATTACAATTTTTAAATTCTATTTTATCTTAAAATCCAGTGTTTAGTTTACGCTGTTTGTTTTTTATTTCAGTTTATTTCTCCTTTCTTTTTCCTTCCGTTTTGTTTTATTTCCGCGGAACTGAACAGCTCAACACCGTCATTTCACACACCAGGCTCCGATGGCTGGGCCACGTGTTGCGCATGCCGGCCCACCGACTCCCGCGACGTGCGTTGTTTGTGCGCCCGGGGGTGAATGGAAGAAGAGGAGGGGTGCTCAAGCGAAGACTCATTCGAGAGGAATGAAGGCCCTCACTTCGAAGCTGGCCTGGGTTGGAGCGTCTCGGCTCCCTGGTTGTGGTCCGAAAGACGATGAACACGTTTGGCTGGATACACTTGCTGATATGGCTAGGAGCCGACCTCAGTGGCGTTCGTGCTGTGAGTTTCTTTGTCCCACACCACCCCGCTTAGCCTCCCCCTCCAATCACGATCTCACTATTTAGCCTTATATACTTTTGCGTAATACTTTTTTGGGTGCATAGTAGCCGGCTGGTTGCTATCCGGATCCTTGCCCATCCGTTACCAGTAGCTCAGCTGGCTTGCACTTGTTGCATATTTTTTCGCCTTTTTTCTTTTATATATTACGGCACAGTAGTTAACTTGTATAATGTTGTTGATGATGTGTATTCCACTGACAGTTTTTGAGATATTTTAAATTGTTTTATGGGAAGGGATGGGAAATCCCCGCCGCTTTCAGAGATACATACCCGCCATTGACTTCGATCTTAAGCTATGATATCCAAGCTAACCAGCTTCACACTGTATATCTGAAATCCCAACCAGGGAGTCGCGAACAACAGACCGTGGCCGACTTTTTCGTCAGGTTTTTCTTGTGACTTCTTCCAGTTGTAGGTTGTTCACTGCGCCGTCTCCTCTAGTCTATCCAGTAACCGCCTACAACGCCCGACGCAGAAGGCGATGAGTGGGCATGCGCAATACATGTCCAAGCCACCGCCGCGTGACTAACTTCTCGAGCGAGTGGCTGTCTTCATCCAAGACACGCCGCCTAATTTTCACTTTTTTTATTAGTGTAGCCACCACACACTGGCAATGGGCCGCCAACAACGGTGCTCGAAGATGAAGTATGAGCGCAGATCAACGGTCCGAGCATTCCAAGTCTCGCAGCCGTACAACAGTACCGCGCGGACACTCGCACGATAAATCCATACTTTGACAGATCGACGAGTCATTGCGCCGCCACGAGTTCTTCAGCCTAATTAAAGTGGGACGAGCTCTTGAGATAAGCATCGAAATCGACGAGTTGTATAGTCGTAGATTTGCTGCGGAACGCTGGTGGATAGCAAGAACCCGTAAGATAGCGAAGACCAGTACTGTGATATAGAAGCAAGTATTGATACTTTAGGTTGTTCATTTGGCGGTTTTGTTACAAACTACATCACCAGTCGAAGTGACATCGTCAGTGCGCTGGTATGTAGCGGAGCGGAGCGGCGCAATGCGAAGTATGAGTGTGAGTGATGGATCATCTGGGCGGACGAACCGTCACTCTGAGTTCGATTTCTTCGACGGGCACACGATCACCGAAATTGACACCTCTACTTTGTACATCGTGATGATAGTACGCGTGCCTCTGCCGTTGGCGTCCTCGTCCGAGGTGCATGTTCGGCGTTCTGATCCCTTACATTTGTTTAGGTTTATTCTTTTTCATTCATACTGCCGCGTATGTAGTATCTAGTTCAACATGTCGGTGGAATAAATTGGCATACGCTGCTGTCTAGTTGTGCATGCCACTAGCGGTCATGGGTTCGATCACCTGCAGGGGAGATTGGGAGCACGAACCACTGATGAGCCCCAATAAAACAAAATACTCGTCTGTAGCTTTTCCGGATTAGTAGTTAACCTCTGTGGCTTGTAATGTAATTACGATAAACTAACTCAATATGCTGTGACACTGTCGTTCGCTGAATCAATTGAACCAACATGAGAAGTTAACGATACACACTCCACTTTGGAAGAAATTAGACATGAGCTCCTGGACTCGACGACCTTTCTTCACCTTTGCTGAAAGATGTAGGTGACTCTTTGCTGACTGAACTTGCTGTTCTACTCAACACTGTTTGAGTGTCAACTTTCATGCCCATCTTCATAACGAGTCAACGGGATGTGAACGAAAGTCGGCGAGATACTAGCCTTATTTCCATTGCCTAAACTTTTCATGGGTTTCCATCTTCGATGGCTTACTGCTTCTCGTGCATCCTTGGACGCCGAGCTAGTTGATTGCATTCGCCAAATATTTACTCTTATCAAGTATTAGAGTAGAGACAGCTACAGACGACCGGCTCTAGCGGTTTTCCTTGACCTGAAAGTGGCCTTCGACTCTGTTATCGAGCCAGCTCGTGGCACTGGTTATCCGTGAATGGAGTGTCTGATAAACTTCATTCTGTTCTCTCTACTGTCGCTTCAGAAATCTGGTAAAAGTGTAAGGAAACTTGTCTCTTGAGTTCTCCACGACGAGTTGGGTTATCCAGAGCTGTCCTACATCTTTCTTCCTCAACTTTCTGCTCAACCTGATCATAGATGACTCCGTTCCTTTAGACACTTCTGTAGTGGATGTTCTGCCCAGGTGACCGACTAACAAGTCTTGCGAATATGGACGACATAGCTCTCCTTGAGTCTGACGCAGTGATTACGCGAACACTACGGCACACATTGACGCATAGCACTGTACGCTTCGGCATGTACTTTGCACCTTCAGAGTGCAAAGTACTGTTGCAGGACTGGACTGATACACAAGCCGTTTTGACTATCACCGAACGGCCACTGAAAGTGGTGGATTGGTTTACTCTCATTGGCAGCAGTGTCACTTCTAATGGAGGAGGTTACTCCGCGTATCACTGGGCCTTGTGTAGATTTTCACTGGCTTAACCATGTATGGAAAGAGCAGGATATCAGCCTGTCATTAAAAGATAGGGTGTATAACGCTGCGATAGGGTTGGTGTTCCTGTATGGATCAGCGAACTGGCGCGTTTTCACTGCAGACATTAAGCACTTGGCGGTGCTTGCTCCCCAATGCTAGTGGGTTATTGCTCACATCAGGTGAGAAAACCGAGTAAACAATGCTGAGATCCGCCAGTTTTTGGGAAGAAGCCCTCTGGTGCTTCCTTAGAGTTTTTGCCAATGCTTAACCGCGTAGGTTACTAGGTCATCTCCCCCTTTATGCTAGTCGACCGACTTCATCGGCCTGCATTATAGATCTTAGCTTCGTTGAGTGAAACCGCGAGGGGACTAATCGGTACTGTGGCTTGAATGCATGAACAAACCGACCGATAGACTCGGTCGGGCTGGTGCCTGATCTCTTCATAGTTGGTCCCCATCAGTGGTTGGAGTCTATCCGAAATGTTATATTCGCGCAGTCAGTGGCGCTCCTGCATTAGGTTTCTTGCATCCAATTGCTAATTTCCATTTCATCACGATTAGTTCAACGCACTTCCTCCTTGATTCCATCTTACTTTCGTCCCGTTTGCGTTCAAGCTCTTTTTTTACCATCGTTGTCTATTGTTTATTTTGCAACGTGAGTCGTGGCAACTAAATCCACCGCAATTCGGTGCCCGGATCATAGTTGTTTAACTGAAGTGAACCGAAGTAACCTAGCATCTTACAACAGGTTTCCCGAAGAGTTGCTATTGACTCCAAAGTGGAGTTTGAACATTACCTTACACTCGGTCCACATGGACTTACATCTTATCCGTATCTGCGAAATTCACTTTGTTCATCTTTTGCTTTACCTAACTTTACTTTCAAACCTATATCTTTGATCATGCTCAGTTGATAATCTTCTGCTAGCATTCACTTTTCCTTTCTACTATTCTTTGTTCCTCTGACTTGCACTACAGGGACCGCTAGTTCAGATCATGTAGACATCAGCTCGTTCACCGCGGTATCAGCCGCAGGTGTTAGTGTAGCCCATCTAGATGGAAAAATGAGAGACCTAATTATCTGCTTTTTCAACACTGTAACCAAAGTGGAACTCTGACGATGTTGCTCAAATCTGGGACAGCTAATATGTCTGCTAAGCATTGCTGAACAGATTTGCGTTAGTTGTTCTTCTTTTCAAGTTGTTTTACACCATTAGGCGTAATGTTTCCCTCCAGAGTTAGGAGGACTCGAAACCTATTCTGCTCCTTGGTAGGTACCGACTGAAAGTCGTTCAGAATTTCAGCTACCCTAGTAGCTGTATCAGCTCCTTTGGGATAGAGAATGAAGTCATAGTGTCAAAAACACTTGGCGCTTTTGATATTCTTCACCACCTGTGGCATCAACACGCCTCCTTTCGCATTTGGGTCCAGATCTGGTAGGAACACCGCATGAGCAATTAACTTGTTTGCCATTTTGTTTTGGCACAGAAAGAACATTCGAACCATTTTTTACGCAACTAGCTGCGATGGCCAGAAAGTATGTTACATGTGTCAGCACACAGGCTCCTACATCATGTGTTGTCTACATCTGTGGGGTGTGCGTGGAAAAAGTTACTTGTTGATATGGCATTTATGTTGTACGTTTCCCCGTTTCTCCCCTACTTATCATCCATCCTCCAACCGATGTTTTATTCTTCATATATTCTAAAAAGACAGCACTACCATCTGATTGCATCTTCATCGTAACACAATAGCTAAGGTGTTTCTCTCCTCTGGGTGCTGTGTGGAATGATACTAATTTGCTGCTGCCGTTTCCTTTGAAATCACATCTGAACTTGAACTTTCTCTTTAGGATTGCATCGTCACGGTTGCGTTGTACACTAAATGGGTGGTTCAGTTATTACGCATCATAGGTTGTGATGATTTGGAAGCTGTATGCTGGCGAATGCAGATGGGCTGTTGGTAGGTTTATTTTCGTCCACTCGTTCACTCGCAGTTATCCATAAATTTCACGATGATAATTGCCAATACCTAAGTTTATCTTTGGGCGAAATTGTATACATTCGCCGTCAATGCCAAGGTATACTTTGGATTACCTCTGACCAATATCAGGGTGGTATTATGGATTTAAGGCTACCCAGCGCTCTCGTTGTGGGGCATTTCCGAAATGTTGTGTCCAAATTGCCGCACCCGAATTTTGGTCCGAGCTAAATGCGGAACTGCACATTGTATTTTGTCAGCTACTTTCTGTTTTCAAAGTAAGCACCATGTTAATAATTAGTTCCTCTTTAAGAATGGTGAATCTTCTCAATGGGACCGGCTTTCTTCTTCAGTTACAACCATTGTGGAGTTGAAAGGTACTCTTGACGGAAAACTGACGCAGGTAACCTATTTGTCATTTTGTAATCCCATTTAGCGAGAAGCCTCTGCGGGTATCAAGACTTTCTTGACAGATCTCGCACTTTTACAAAAGTAACATTCATTTCTTCCTACATTTCGCTCAGAGAGCTTGATCTTCCAGTATTGATAAGGGATGAGAAGTACCTTGCTATTGATCCTTATTCAGAAGTGTTGGTTGATCTACACAGAAAGCATTTGAATTTATTCAACCAGCTTGAAGATGCAAAGGTATTTCCCTGTTTAGCATTTTTAATGTTCCTGCTATAAGTGGTTGCATTTCTTCTACTGTTTTATGCCATTTGAAGTAATTATGGTGATTAATTAGGAATGACTAGCTTCAGTTATCTTTTGCACATCCTCAATCATTAATCCTGAGACTAGTTTATTCCGCGAATTCCATGTTGCTACCATCTGCAGATTGAACCAAAACCAGGTTGCCTTTGTGGTGACATTATTAGTCATTTTATGTTTCAATGAATCACGGGCAATGCTGGTCTTCAGCAAAGCAAAGATTCCCATTCCATTAATATGAATCAATATCAGAAATCAGTTCCGGGTGAAGAATTCTTTTCGGTAACTCATCCGACCCAAACATTTACAAATCACAGATACTGTGGGGTAAGCGTCAACTCGGGCTGGGATTTACTTCTGGACTGTTTGAATGATCAAAATCGATAACTTGAGACATAGATGGCGATGGTAAACCAAATAAACTAAATACACATACATACGCACAGCTCAATAGTCCAAAGTAATTAAGTAGGTGAAAGAACAGCCAAATAACTAAGTGACAGTGTCCGTTGGCCAAGGTAGTAGTAGCGGCCGTGTGAATCGTTTTTGTATACATAATTCCGGCTTCAGCTGGTGAATGTAGATAGCCTCGGCGATGGATAAGAGCTGTTTGCGAAATCCTTGGGTGTTCATCAGTAAAAGACAATATTGACCCTGGATTACACCCTACTTTGCGGATCTCTACCTTGGTTCAGGTGTTTCCAATGGCGCAAAGTGTCTAATGTCTACCGGTACGAGACAATGCTATCGGTCGATTTCAACTAATGGTTCTTTTGCCTTTGCCACAAATCCTAGGTGGAACACTTTGATAGCTTTGTGTTGTGCTCACTCGGTGGAGCGGGAAATCATCATCGTACAAAATTCGTAATTCCTCATCTATTTGAATGATAAACACCATCTCATAAACTGACTACGGGGTGTGCAATTCTGCAGTGTTAAAGGCAAAATTGGATAGATTGGATACTACCGCTGCGTCGAGAAGAGACCAGACTTTAACGTGGCGCGACGATTCGGGCGCCACTTCGACCCATTTAGCTATGCTGAGTGGTGCTGTCGGGCCGTATGAGAGCAACCTCCATTAGATTTAAAATGATTCGAAATACCGGTAGCTCGGGTTGATGAATCACTGGTTCATTTAGTAGGCTAGTACGCTACATATCACTGCACTGAGGATGCCACCTCGCATGGTGGTGAAACGTTTGCGAGAAAACCGCCAAGCTCGGAGAACAAATGAACCTCCATTAGATTGTTCAGTGGTTAGATGCCGGATGGGCTCAGTCTCCTGGCCCTAGGCTTGGGTTATAAATAAATAACAAATCCTTGCCTTTTACCCGTTACCTTGCGATCATACTTTACAGGCACGGGTTTTTGTTTAGGATCCTAATCGTTTTTCTACCTATTTTGTACACTCTGGTAGCATCCCAACCCACACACCACCATGACTATTTTATCAAACTCCAATCTCATTCTGTATCAGCCGTCGCGCAGTCCCAGAAGGCTCTCATTTTCTATTTTTTACGACAAGGCGGATATGCGAAAACATACTAGTGCCGATGGTGCTTCTCATTTTTCACTTGTTATTTTTACACCCATCCAAACCCCCGTTACTGGCCTTCTATACTCCCCAGTCTAATCAGTCGTAGCTGTGATTCCACTTGAATTCCACCAACCGCAAATATCTTCTCGCGTTGCCCACAACTGCCGTCGACCACCCCTTGTCCGACCACTCTTCTCTCCTTCTCTGGTGGCATTAAGCATTCTCATTCTAAGACAAATAAGTCTCACACATGTTGCTTACCATACTTGTTGAATTCTGTTACCTGTCCTAAACTAGGATCAACGATCCTCACGTGCTTGTTGAGCTAACCTTGTCCTCTCAATATTGGCTATGCGCATCAAGTGACCCTAATGCAACAAACACAGACCAAGCAAAAAGGGGGCTCGTCTTCAGCTCAGGAGCTGGACCATCAATAGTTGATTGTATTCTCGTGCGCAGTCGTTAGTTTTCAGCATCGACAAGAGTGAACGCATGGAGTAGCACTAGACGCTGTTTGTTAATGATTGCTGCCTATGTTCTTACCAACTGCGTTCCTTACGCTCCCAAGAACAATTACGATGAATTTAATACTGCATCGCAACGCTTATATATATATATATATATATATATATATATATATATATATATATATATATATAAGCGTTGCGATGCAGTATTAAATTCATCGCAATGAGGCTGGACCTTACCGTGGTGGGATGATTTGTGTGCCTCAGTGATCCATTGAGCTATACTGGGTGGTGCTTTTGCACCTTCAGAGCCACTCATACCAGATTGGTCAATGGTTAGAGGCCAGACAAACTCAGCCTCCTGGTCCTCCAGGTTGGGGGTTGGAACGAGGGTGGCTCCTTATTCCTTAAAACGGACTGCTTGTAGTCCAGTGCCAAACCTGCTGCCTTGCGGCCAGGTTTTTGAACCAAAAACTTTGGTTAAGAACCCTAATCGTTCTCCTGTCTAGGCCCGGGCAACCTGATAGTATCCTGCCCACGCAATACAATGAATCTTTCCTCAAACAAATTTCTGATGCTCTGGCCACCGCAGAGGATAATCATCGGTGCCCTATCTGCTGCATCGAGCAGGGTGGATAGGGGTTTGGATGCTACTGCTCAAGCCTTCCCATCTTCTTATTCCCCTTCTTGCGCTTTTTCACCCTTATCGTCCTGTCCCAGCTTCACTTGTATCCCCCCCGTTTTCAACCCCCCAATGCTCGGCCTTCCCCCACCTTGCTTCAATAGTCGCTGGTCTTTTAGTTTCAACTCACAGGTGAACGCAGAGCGTCATTCCTGCACTGTCAACAGGCCCATATCCAAGCAAGCGGCCCATTCCAGTTCATCGGCTTCCATTTGGAGCCCTCGATCCTCCTTCAGACTGGCATGCCTCAATGTTCGCACATTGCTTCAGATCGGTCAACAGGCACCACTTGCCCGAACATTAGAGACCCTCTCAACCGAGTGGTTGGCACGTTTGCTTTCCAACCATAAGGTCACCGGTTCGAATCCGCGTAGGGGTGGGCGTCCTCGCGGTATACTCAGCCCGCGCGCGACTGGTGGTGGTCGCGCGGCAGCGAAGCGCCGTTACGGTGTATAAGCTGACACATTTCATTTCATTTCATCATTCATCTCAATCGATATCTGCTGCTTATCGGAGACCCGCCTTCAAGACTCGAGTTCTGTACTCACTCTGCGATCCCCTTCAGGTGACACTAGCAGCACTTTCTCATTGCGCCTATCCGGTGACGATGTAGCTTCGAGCACCGGCCAAGCCGGTGTTGGTATTGCCCTGAGTCCCCGGGCTGAAGCTGCTCTAGTTGATTGGATTCCAATCAGTAGGCGGATGTGTGCGGTCCGATTGGCTGGCTCGTTCAAAACTTCGAAGTCGCGTGGGACTAACAGGTGTCTATTCGTTATCGCTGCCTATGCACCGACAAACTGTAGCGATGACTCGGTGAAAGACGACTTCTATCGCCAACTGAACGAACTCCTTCGCCACAGAAGAAGCTCGGACACTGTAGTGCTGGCTGGGGATCTGAACGCTCAAGTTGGAAAATTATCCACGGATGAGCTGCATCTGGGCGGCCAACATGATATGGGCTCCCGTAATGATAATGGTGAGCGGTTACTTCATTTGTGTGAGGATGCTCGCTTATTTCTTACGAGCACTAATTTCCGACACAGCACCCGCCGGAGGGTGACTTGGCGCCCACCAGCCTCGAACCAGCTATGGACGCAAATCGATCACATTGCTATCAGTTACCGCTGGAGAGGCTGCGTCCAGAACTGTCGCTCGGTTTGGAGCACAGGTGTTGACACCGATCATGCACTTGTATGTGCTGGCATGCGGATGCGCTTTGGCGGACGCCCGCGACGATGTTGTGAGCACATTGACACCGGCAGACTGGTGAAGCCAGCTGTTCTGAACGCCTATCAAATTACGCTGTCATCCGAGTTGGATAAACGCTCACTGGATGCAATTGAAGCTCACTGGTCTCATATGCCATCGCAGGCATATGCCATCCTCTCATATGCAACAGGCCTTACTAACAGCAGACAAATCCTCATGTGGTATGTCTAATCGCCAACATGAACATTGGGTCTCTTCACAGTCTTTGGAACTTATAGATGCTCGCCGGCATATTCCGGCTGGAAGCGAACACAATGAAACTCGCAAAGTGCTTCGGGCGAAACTCCGTGCTAGCCTGAAGAGAGACCGCGAATCCTGGTGGTCTCGTCGTGCAACAGAGATGGAAATGGCCGCTACCCTTGGTAACCATCGTAAATTATTCCGTCTGATACGGGAAACGGGCAGCAGGAGACCTGGTGTTAGTGAAACTATACGTGACGAGAGTGAACAGCCTATTCACATCTTATCAAAACGCCTGGAACGTTGGGCTGAGCACTTTGAAAGGCAATTTAATCGGTCGGAATTGTTAGATTTCTCGCCGACCAGTGATCGCCCTGCTCCGTGGGCTGTTCCTTTGGACCCACCCTCTCGCTCAGAAGTCGAACATGAGATCAAACTGTTGAAGTTAAATAAACCCGCGGGACCTGGTGACCTGCCTCCAGCCCTCTTCAAATCCGGGGGACCTGCTCTTGTGGATGATTTACAAAAGTTACTAGACAAAATATGGTAGCAGGAAACTGTCCCTACCGATTGGAGCCGCTCCATCATAGTCCCAATTTTCAAAGGAGGCTCACGATCAGAATGCGGCAGCCGTAGAGGAATCAGTCTGATCTCCATCGCCTCCAAATTGCTTGCCTCTGTCATCCTTCACAGACTGACTGGCACTCGTGTAAGCCAGATTCGCGAAGAGCAAGCTGGATTTTGTCGAGGTCGTGGCTGCATTGATCACATATTCACCTTGCGTCAGTTGTTGGAGCACCTT